TTGCCAATATTGTAGGGCATTGAAATACTAAAATGAAGCAAATGTATTGTGTTGCGCAAATGGAAAGGTGACATTGATAGCATTGCTTCCACCTCCAGAGCCATTGTACTCATTGGTTTTAGAAATAGGATTCCTATACATTCCTATATTCCTAATTCCATACACTTTTTAAAGAATATTCAACAATAAAATAACTGCTTTTAAATGACAATAATTTGGAGCAATAAATATAGTTCCGAAAATTTCATGCCAACTTTCATAGTTTGTAATAGTATATGCAGTTGTATGTTTATTAATCATTACTATTATAGCCCATATATATTTTTACAATACATTTTTTTTCCTTTTACAGATACAAGGTCAAATATATCACAGAACAGGTTCTTTGTTAGTGCCAGATAGTGACTACGCATTTTTGCAAATTTTATTTTATGGGAAATAGTCCACAAGAAATCAATCTACGTTGTGCACATACAAATTCAGTGAAAAGGTGAATAGTTGAACAATTACAAAACTTTTTTCATAAAACACACTCAATTGATTACATTATTTAAAAGTGCAATGGATATGATTCCTGCTGATGATCACAATATTCTTATTAGAGTAGATAAAATATTCAGGCCGTTTTAATGCACCTACTATCGATTAAGTTGCCATAGTTTTGGTTGGAGAAAATTCGGAGTCACGTGATATTGTTTTACATCGTCGAAATAATAAATTACAACGTATTAAGAAAACACATCGCTTATATTATATGAAATATAATAATTACCTACCAGAATAAGAAAACTGAAATTTTAATTTTCATTTTGATTTATTAGTGACAGTTAATTTATTTGCATAGGTAAACCAACTTATCGCGTATGAACAATATGGGGATGATTGGGCGATCGATTGATGCGAGGATGTTAATCTAATAGCTGCGACGATTAGCTCAAGACTGCCCATGCAAGGGCTGACGGGCCAAATTGCCGGGCTCTATGCTGCAAGCTTAGACGCGAGCGAGAGAGTAGGATAGCCCGAGAGCGTTAGAGCTGCTCGGGGCCGCTGTTAAACCGATTTAAATTATTTAAATTTTTTAAATTTTAAATTTTAAATTTAAAAAAAAAAAGGGGCGGGAACGTTGTGAGTTGCTGCGGACACCGCAACTCTACAGTTATACCCGATACTTAGTCAGCATGGCTCTCCTCCGGCAGACGCCGCTAATATTGAACGACACGACAAAGAATGCGTGTGAGAGAGACAGAAAATCAGTCTGAGCGTGACGTCGGGCGCTGCGTAGCCACTGCAAATTGATTTATTCCTTTTGGCTATAAAAATGATCCGATCTGACCCAGATTCAGCAATCTGATAGATATGGTCATTATCTATGATTCTGCGTTTTTAGTTTTCTCGAATGTGCAATATTGTGGATGCAACATATTTTCGTCCTTTGTGGGGGTCCTTTATAGTGAGATCGAACAGAAATGCGGATACCAAATTTGGTTACTCTAGCCTTAATAGTCTCTGAGATTTGTGGATGCCCCAGATTTTCGTCCTTTGCGGGGGCGGAAGGGGGTGTGGCGAAATTTGGACACAAAACGGTCAAGGTCCGATATCACAGGAGTGTGGATACCAAATTTGGTTGCTCTGGCTCTTATAGGTTCTGAGATCCTTGAACTCATATTTTGCAATTGGCAAAACCGACCATGAAACCTGTGTGTTAGAGAGAGACAGAGCGAGAAAGAATGAAATTGTTTTCTGGATTCTGGCTATAATAATTATATGATCTGGTTCAGATTTTGCACTCTAAAAGATATAGTCATCGTCTACGATTCTGTTTTTTTGGTTTTATCGTATCTTTAAAAATGTGGATGCCACAGATTTTCGCCCTTTGTGGGGGCGGAAGTGGGCGGGGCAAAGTTTTGAAATATCTTTGTAGCAGTGACATATCACAGAAATCTGGATCCAAAACATCGTTGCTCTAGCTCTTATAGTCTTTGAGCACTAGGCGCTAAAGGGGACGGACAGACGGACGGACGGACGGACAGACGGACAGACAGACAGGGCTCAATCGAATCGGCTATTGATGCTGATCAAGAATATATATACTTTATGGGGTAGGAAACGATTCCTTCTGGACGTTACACACATCCACTTTAACCACAAATCTAATATACCCCAATACTCATTTTGAGTATCGGGTATAATAAAATTAAAGATCCGACTGTTAGGCGGTACGAAGTTTGCCGGTCAGCTAGTAATATAATAAATATAAATATAAATGTAATATAATACAATATATACAATACAATACAATATATAATATAATATAGTAATAAAATATATAAAATATATATGTATATACATATATACATACACTTTGCACTAGACTGCATGCGAATAATAAATTGCCTGAACGTTATTGGTAACAAAAATGTTTGGTAGAAGATATCGATTATATCAACTTGATTTTAAATAATAACGCACGAATTGGTTAATAAAATATATTAAAGGATTGTTGTATGCATGGAATCGGATTACATTTGTGCGACACACACAAATGCAAGAGAAGAGCCAAATCTATATTATAGCCAGAAGGAGCTCCATAGGTGCTGCAGATTCAACACTTTTTAAGGTCAGGATCCTTATCCATAAAGGAGGAAGGCATGCCCCAAAAGGTGGCATATTGTGCTTACTGTGTCAACTCCGTTTGGCGAACCCGGCAATACACTGTGACCGTATTAGAGCTCTTCGATTTGGTGCATCCGCATTATTGAATTCCAACTTCATGGTAATATCTTGCACAATCACACACGCGTCAAACTCGTCTCTCACGGGACTACCGATCTTATCGAGAGCCCTTTTCCAGGTCGTTATGATGCTCGTTATTCTTACGGTCAGCCTTACAGCCTCACGGGCCTTCCAGTTTAACAGTCCCCAGCGAGATTTCAAAGTTTGAAGCGCACTGAACATGTGCAGCCGTCAACAACTATGCACACTACGAGCACTGAAACAAAAACACCGACTTGGTGTTAAAGCGATAGCAATGAGTTTTGGTTTAGTTTAGGATAATTGTGGCAGCCAGGTCACTGGGATGGGCATCGAGACGTTTGATTACGATGATCGTCGATTTTAAAGGGCCTTCTGTTATGTAGACGAGCGTACCTCAGAGTTCTCGCTGGATGACGAACGTCGAGAAAGGCGATCCAAACAATTAAGAGCGTGGGCAGAAGCAACGAAACAATAATAAACAGTTACATTACGTTAAGAGAACTTTGAAATCGGCGCTTAGCCAACCAATTATAAAAGATGACCTCGGCGGTGATAAGTGTGTTTACCCAATCTTCACGAACGGTAAGGTTCTTGTATGGGCCGCTTTTAGCACGCTTGACAATATATCCAGTTCTCTGACAAACGAGCTGACGTTCGTGAAGTGTTAATCCAACCTGACCAAGAAGACAAGAACCTGTACCGGGAAGTTAATGCAGTACGAGTACACGTCGCACAGTGAGGCCTCAGCCGAAATCAGGTGACAAAAGTCGGAAACTTTACACGCGCTTTGGTTAATGCAAAATTTAAGGAAATCAAATTTTTAATTTAGGAGATATGAGTATTTCAAGTTGCTCATTTTGTTGGAGAGCAACCATTCGGTCAATTTGTATTCACTTACACACTACATCTTTCAGATAGAAAAAATGTAAATTATGTAACGTATAATTCTTGATTAAGTGTTTTAATTATGTGTATTCATTGTTAATATTATTCAATACAAAAACTGGGATGGCGCAGGCTTTAAAGACAGCAGAATCTACCTTTTTTTAATATCCTGAAAAATGCTTACTTCTACGATTCATAATTTTTTAGACCATGGTAAAATTTGCATTTAACATACCAATTTGAGATATGTCAGAGGAAGACCAGGAAACGAGAAACAATGATTACAAGAAATACAAATACAGAAATATATGAAAACGTGCATGATACATAAGTGTCACGTGAAAGTAAAATAAAGATTTTTTCAATATACTGTCATCCTCATTTTGTAACAGTTATACACGGTACTCATGAATGGATAAAGGTCAAACTGGATGTAACAGCTATTTATAGTCTCGATTAGCACATCTAACAACATATGTATGTATACATGTTATGCCAATTTTCTTCTGAGCAATTAACATTGTGAAAATGGTCATCAAAATACTTAGCTGAAATGTTTGAAATTGCATATAAAGCAAATTTTTTATTATAAATATGATTATGTTTCTTTTATACTCTAGCAACGACTATTTGCATTTTTGAACACAGCTTGCAAGAATTTAAATAAACTAATAAAAGTCTACTAGAAAGTGGTTGGCTGTTAAAATTCCTTCCAAATCTAATGGTTTGTAACTGATTGAAGCAAACAAATTATTTGTTTACTTAGCAACGAAATGCAACAATACAACAAAGAGTATTTCGTTGGTTCTCGTGATCGTCAAAACATGGACAAAATGCGCCTGTTATTAGCTTCAGCGAGATGCTTCTGCGTTTTCAGTTTCAGTCACTTTTCAAGCTTTGTCGAAAGCACATACTTATTAAAACCGAAGTATATACATACATATGTACATAAATAGTGTCATTTGAAAATATCTGTGGCTTGCTGCGTTAATCCGATTATTCATTTTTTAAGATAAAATTATTGTTTGGTTTAATCTACATACCACTTCGTATCTCTCTGTCGATGTTAAAAAATCTTTAAACATAAAAAAAAGATGAATATTTAAAAACAGATGATACATATTGATGTATATGGTTAATTTTTGATCGTTCAATTCGCACCGACAGCGATCAAATACAACAAAACTGAACAAAAAACCTTTAACACAACAAATCTTGGATACGATCAATAAAAAATATTTTGAGTGTTTATTTGAATATTTTTTCAACAGAATAAAGGTTTAACCACATTTTGTAGTTGTCAAGACAGATTCAATTAAAAAATAAAAGAATTAATTAAGTAATATATTAAATAAATAAAACAATACAACGCAATTAAGTAAGTATATTTTCATATATATGTAGTTCAAGTGACATTCATAGGTGGTGGATATAATTTTGATCAAATTAGATTAAACGGTTCACAAATACTCGCACAAAGAAAATGTTGTTTATTTATAATTTGCACATATGTAAATTCTTATTATACATTTTATTTGTCTTTTTTATTAAGATCACAAACGCTGACATATACAAAATTATAGTGACGTAGTATATTTAAAATACGTACATTTCCCACATGGAAGCAGTTTCGTCACTGAATATAATTTTTTGATTTGAGTCAACCCGTCCTTAGACGGGTAAGAACCAATTGAGTTACTATGAGGAAGGGTGGAAATCATATACACTATACATTTTTAGCATGAACTTTATATTTCAAAACTTAAAGAAAAATTATAAACAAATTATACTTTGAAGACACACATACATACATATGTATATATATTTATTAATATTTTATTCGGTGTAAAACACCAGCTAATCCGATAATATACATATGTATATATGTATGTATATTACGTAGAATATTGTCTCTTCATTCTAAATATAAACTGAATTGGAAAAATGCGGTACAATTTTGCTAAGACGCAAGATACCACAACTTTTTTAGTGTGTATACTATTACAATGACCGCGAAAAAGATTTTTTAAACATTTTGGCACTACTCATTGAGCGTCCGCAAAAACACAATCTTCGGTTTTCCAAAAGGTGTTTATGTTCATTTCTTAGATATCCAGATCAAGCTTTGCACAAGTATTGCTAGTATCTACCGGTCAATCAAAAATTTTTAATTCTTTGTCACCGTGCCGGGAGCCTACACCAGTACCTAATTTTTTGTTGGCTTCATACTAATATAATACAGTATAATAAAATTATATATTTAATAATAATATTTTATATAATATTATATGTCCAATATATGTATAATGTATAAGTATATATATATAAATCTAGAAAAAAATATTGAATTCATTTTCTCCCGGTACAGTGAAAATTCCGTATATTCATATATGTACATAATATATATACATATATGTGATGTGTATTTTAATAAATAAATAATTCATATAAACTATGAGATTTGCACATATGTTTGTACTATGTACATATGTGCAAATATGTCCCATACATACGTAATGGATCATTTTCTTTTGCATCCAAGAGAACCGTTCTAAATTAAATCAAGCTGGAAAGAATCCCATTCATTTCCTGTTTTTCGATTTTGTTCCATTTAGTCGCGCTCTCATAATGGCCGTATTTCAAACTTGTCACTAACTGGAAGATTGGTGCGACCTGGAATAAAAACCTTATGTAAAATGCAAGCTGTGTGAGCTGTTGTTTTGCTTTCTGTCTAGCTGGTGGCAGAACAATGGCAAATTGTAGTTTATAGTATGTACAGTGCGTTTAATCGGTTTAATTTTGGTAAATAGCGACATTATATCCGTTAATCAAAAAAAAACGAGGGTGAACGTTGTGAGTTGCTGCGGACACCGCAACTCTACAGTTATACCCGATACTAAGTCAGTATGGCTCTCCTCCGGGAGACGCCGCTAATATTAAATGACACGACAAAGAGTACGTGCGAGAGAGACAGAAAATCAGTCTGAGCGTGACGTCGAGCGCTGTGTAGCCACTGCAAATTGATTTGTTCCTTTTGGCTATAAAAATGATCTGATCTGATCCAGATTCAGCAATCTGATAGATATGATCATTATCTATGATTCTGCGTTTTTAGTTTTCTCGAATGTGCAATATTGTGGATGAAACAGTTCTTCGTCCTTTGTGGGGGCGGAAGGGGGTGGGGCGAAATTTTGAGATATACGTTTTATATTGAGATCTAACAGGAGTGCGGATACTAAATTTGGTTTCTCTAGCCTTAATAGTCTCTGAGATTTGTGAAAATCCCCAGATTTGCATCCTTTGCGGGGGCGGAAGGGGGTGTGGCGAAATTTTGAAACAAACTCGTCTCGGTCCGATATATTAGGAGTGTGGATACCAAATTTGGTTGCTCTAGCTTTTATAGTCTCTGAGATCTAGGCGCTAATGTTTTACTCTAAGAAAAGCCGCCTATGCTACGTGTGTGTTAGAGAGAGACAGGGCGAGAAAAAATGAAATTTTTTTCTTGATGCTGGCTATAATAATAATACGATCCAATTCAGATTCTGCAGTCTAAAAAATATGGTCATTCGCTGCGATTCTGCGTTTTTGGTTTGATCGTATCTTTAAAATTGTGAATGCCACAGATTTTCGTCCTTTGTGGGGGCGGAAGTGGGCGGGGCGAAGTTTTGAAATATTTTTGTAGCAGTGACATATCACAGAAGTCTGGATCCAAAACATCGTTGCTCTAGCTCTTATAGTCTTTGAGCACTAGGCGCTGAAGGGGACGGACGGACGGACAGACGGACAGACAGACAGGGCTCAATCGACTCGGCTATTGATGCTGATCAAGAATATATATACTTTATGGCGTCGGAAACGATTCCTTCTGGACGTTACACACATCCACTTTTACCACAAATCTAATATACCCCAATACTCATTTTGAGTATCGGGTATAAAAACAGGTGTATATTATATTGCCATAATATACATATATATATATATATATATATATATATGTATATATATACATACATATATATATATATACATACATATATATATATGTAGAGTGCCTGACTATAAAGTTGGCACAGCAATAACTTTTCAGTTTACTGCTGTTTCGAAGTTTATAGCTTTGAAGCTCTTTTGAACCGTTGAACGATGAGCCGATTGGAAGTCGGTACCCCTATTTGTAATTTCCACAATTCCATCTTGCGATTGGGCTTGGTTGGGAAAATGCAGAATGATTTTATACTGAGATTCTGTGGTTTTGAGCGATTTGGCGACCATTGTAGGTAATTCGAGATTAAATATTGGACAGTTCCACAGAACTGGAAACAAGTGTGAGTCCATGTCCAAAAAATACAAATAACTATATTGGCAAATTACAAAGTCTTATAGAAAATGGATTCATTTATCGTAGTACTAAACTGAAAAGTTATTGCTGTGCCAGCACTGAGGTCAGAATGGCCACCCTTCCCGCTTTTGAGTGCATACTTTTAGGAGACATATGAAGATAAAGCTATTATGTATATGGAATCACTACAGTATGTAGATGTGCCAGTGACGAACATGTCGCAGAGCTAATCTTCAAAGGTAGATCCCAGGGAATTCGGCTCTGATGTTCCGCATATGTAATATGTATATTTTCACAAAAATATGTGATGTATGCTTTCTCGTCTTCAGCGTTTAGAATGCTTTTTTCGTTTTTATTTTCATTTGTGCTTCCAGCATATTCAATATACGACTGTTATAAACCAATATATCTATGTCCATATTTTCTCGATGGCAGTTTTCAAGGTGCGACATGCATCTACATATTTTCTTTGCACATTCCCAACGCAAAGCGCGTGATTGACAATTGATTTGAGATATATTTACATATGTAAAACCATTCAATGAAAATATATTTTCTTAGATCGTACATTATAATTTTTATGATAAAAAAGTGATTTGGGGTAAAAATCTACATATGTATTGATCATGTATCAATTTTGCATTTAAAAGCTTAGTAATGTTAAAGTTATGTGAAATTTTATATTTTTAAAACATTTTATAGAAAAAATTTCTATAATTTAGTAAACAATTGTGTTTAAAATATATCAGAAAAACTCGATTTGGTTCATGAAAAAAGTTAGAATTGTTTACCTAGTGTTATTATTTTTTTTACTTCGGCCTACATTACTTTAAATTAATTTTTTGTTCATTTTGAGCTTTGATCAACGGATTCTTAATGAATTTATTTTTATTTTTACAGAGCAGTGCTATGGTTTTATTGTTCAAAATATTTGTAACATTAAGATGATTGGCCTTTTACCATTTTTCGTGATCCTTCTGGTGTCATCCGGAATAGATAGTTCTAAATTTCACTGCGTTAACAACAATGGTACGTACTGACAATTTTTCTTCATTCCTGCCTATCGAGTATTTAAATAGTTTTATACCCTGTACTCAAAGTTGCTAGGTTGATAGGGATATTTTAAGTACATGTGAATGTATGGTCTGTTTCCTCGGAAGAAGCGTCAACCAATACAGTGGCATCTCCAGTTTTGAAGTTACGAAAAAAAATGTAAAATCATAATGATTTTGCTATTAGGCGGGCCGAGCGAATGTTCCTTTCAGGTTGGGGGATGGTAGAACGGTGTGGAATGCAGCAGCCAAGGTAGTGCAGTCTACCGGTTCTGTGATATAAACACTTAATCTTGTTAAAGTCTTTCCGTTTTTTCTTTTCGCCATAACCTCTAGCTGATAGCTTTTCTTCGTCTCTACTTTCTTCAATGTGTTTTCCAACTATCGATAGGCCGCGTAAAAGGCTCTAAGGCTGCAAAACTTGGAAAACGACGTTTATTTACAATACATATATAGTCAATATAGTCTCTCAAGAGAACCACCAAATAGGGTATAGGGAGCCAACAAGGGGCTAGAACGATGAAATGTCATAACTTGTCATAATTAAGGTGTAACAAATTTGCACAACACCATGACTGAAAGTTATTGAGATCGGATTGCAAGCGAGAATGAAATGAAACGTCCTTATACTGGAAACAGAATTTAACATCATCCGCATACATAAGTACTCGAGAGTATGTTAATACCGAAGGCAAGTCATTAATAAAGAGTGTGAAGAGTAAGGGGCCTAGATGGCTGCCCTGTGGTACTCCCGAAGAAACCTTTACTGGTAAAGAGAGGGAGTTTTTGAAGAGGACTTATTGAGGCCTGGAACAAAGATAGCTAGAAATCCATCTCAGGAGGTTGGGCGGAAACCCTAAAAGGTAAAGTTTATGCGCTGAAAGGGAATGGTTTACAGAGTCGAATGCTTTTATGAAGTCCATCTGTAGATTTCCTTGAAGGCCTATTGAAATATTTAATACATTTGTGGTAGTTAATATTAGATTCAATGGTGTAATAGAAGTTCATGGCCCCTTACGTAGAGGAAGTAACATTTAGTGGTCTGAGTGCACTGAGAGAAAAAAAGTATTAGTAGTAAAAAGAAGGGCACTCATGTTTAAGTGAAATATGTGGCTTTCAAAAACAAACATAGTAAAATTGAAAGGAATTCACTTGGATTAAAGTATAAATGTATTAAAGTCACTTTTTAGCGGCCCATATTTAATCTAAATACAAAAAAATTTTAAATAAATATATTATATTACATTTGTAGGAAATATATAAAATTTAATTGTTTTTAAATATTTAATTTAAATATGAAATATGTTTAAAACAAATATTTGCATATTACTTTCAAATTGTAAGTGAGAACACTTCCATTTTAAATATTTAGACTTTTGGCTCTAAATCAATGGCATAAATATTTCAATGTGAAAATATTAAAATTTCCGGTATTTGTTGTGGGTGCGCCGCAGCTTTAACTTGCTCATTTACTAAGATTATATTGATGGATTATTAATTTTTAGATATTATTTCACATGACCCAAAAACTAATGAATTGGAAATTGGACTACAAATGACCAATCGACCTTTACACCAGGTGATCACGCGTATATTCTTCATGTTTTTAAAAGATGTGTTAGGTTACAGAAATGTTCGAATTGTTCCGATAAATACTTATGATGCCTGGACGACGTTGGATTTAGTTAGGTAAAACAATGCGTCATATGCTAAGTGGTAAATGTAATATTTTTCTTATTTTGTTATTTTAATCCTAGGCGAGATAATCGGTACCCAAATATCAGTATGATTAATTTACAAGCTTGGATGCCATATACTTTTGGTGCCTTACCTGAGAATGTTTTAAATGCGGGTGCTTCAATAACGCTTGGTCGGTTTGGCTGGTTTGTACCGATATCAAAAGGTACAAAGGACATGTTACCATACGAAAGCTTACATTACGAAATCTTTCAACATGTCAACAATACGTATTATGATCTCTATATAATGGAAGATAGTGTACTAAATGAACTTCTACAAATTAGCAGGTTTGAAAATATTTTATTTCCTTAAATACACTCTCTAGCTGGCTCCGGTTTTTACTTTCGCAATAATTTTCCTAATTTACACTAAATTGGGCGTTTTAACAGCAAATGAGAAAATGTGACAAGAATTTGTGAAAACGGGAGCACCTAAAAATGAAAACGAAACGATTTTGCTGAACACGCAAAAGTAAGTGAAAGCCGGAGCCTGCCTGTCTAAGACTTTGCCGTAAGGAGTTGTTCTGTTCAGTTGTTCTGACCGTATGAGTTTCTCACATATGTGCTTACATATGGCTGAAAACAGTTATGTATATACAAATTCCCGCCAACATAACTTGAGCAAAATCCAATTTTATTATACAATATAATTTGTTAACTTTAAGGGCGTTTCACTAGAACGCCATCCACATTCACAAATAAAAGTAAATTGGAAAGCACGAAATTGAGAAAAAACATAGCATATATGTTTGGCATAAAATCAGTAATCAGTTTATAATTTTTCTTAGCTACAGACTTCAATTTTGTTTAGTTTTTTCTGGTAGAAATACCAGAATCACTCGTGCCGAATGATCTCTGTTCCCCCTGATGTACTTGCAAAATAATCACAGAGCTCTAAAAATATCCCCAATTAAAACCATCAAAACAGGGAATATTTTGTTATTTATCTATGAAATACATATGTGGACCTACCTTCAAATACATATACGCACCAGAATTTCCACAAAATCATGTTTTACTATAGCTGCTTTTTTAAATCATACGTATTTATTATTATCAATTTTTTAAGCGCTCAGGTATATAGAAATCCGAACTGCGATGGATACAAATGTGTAACAATATTAGCAGAGTTCAGAAACGATTCTAGTTTTGTGGAGGATCAGTTGGATGAAACTGAAATGATGGTTAATGTACTTTGGATTGGTGAGAAGTTTAGAGAGACAATTGACTGGCTTATCAGAAAGTACGAACAGAAATTTTCCGATGGATCCAAAAGACTGATTATTTTGCATTGGACCCCATCCGAAATAATTTTTGCCCAGAACACTTTTCAACAAATCACAATGCCAAGATGTGAAGATTATACGTACTTACAGCGCTCAGGTTGCAAATATGAGCTTACTCCAATTTTAAAATACTACGCTAAGAGTTTGGCATCTGACAAGCAACTTATGTATGCACTACGGTATTTTAATTTATCTGACAAACATTTGTCAAATATTAGAATGGATCTAAAGTATTATCGAAAGGATCTGAGTATTTCTGCTACTGAAATTTACGATAAAGCTGCATGCCATTGGCTTTTGGAAAATAGAAACTATTACAATTTGTGGAAGGAAAGCAATCAACCTATTACTCTATTGATTGGTGGTATATTTCCAATTAATATAACCTATAGAGGACATGAAAATGTAATGAATGTAGCAAAACATGCTGCATCAGTAATTAATAAAGACCAAACAATACTGCCTGGCTATCATTTGGAAATCTTAGTAAACAATGGGCAATGCAAGTCGGATATGGTTATGAAGTCCTTTATACACTATTACAGTATTCCAAATATTCTGGGTGTTTTAGGACCTGCGTGTAGCGAAACTGTAGAACCAATAGCTGGTATTTCAAAACACATGAATATGATGATAATGTCTTATTCAGCAGAAGGTGCTACCTTTAGTAACCGCGAAGCCTATCCAAATTTTTTTCGTACAATTGGCTCAAATCGGTTGTTTGTTGATGCATATCTCGATATCATGGAGAAATTTAAATGGAGTCGTGTTGCATCTTTAACGGAAAATGAATCCAATGATAATACGTCCCACATGGAGAAGAAATTAAAACTTCGAAATTTTACTCTTATTATTAATCGAAAGTTACAACCTGTTGTCACACCGATGGAAATGAAAGAGGTACATATGTTTGTGTTACTGATGATTATTCGATAACTATAAATTTTTGAAATTTTTAGCATCTACATAAATTACAAGAAGCTCATGCTAAAATTATAATTGCAGACATTGTACATGTACAAAATGCTGCGATCGTATTTTGTGAAGCGCACAAGTTAGGGGTTTGTATAATTAGTTTATATAAATTACTTTGTTTAAATTGTTGCTTTTATATGTAGATGACCCAACAAGATGATTATATTTGGTTTCTCCCACCTTGGCTTCCAAAAGATTTTCAAATGTGGCAAAGAATGGTTAACAGTAGCTGTACTGCTAGTGAGCTGAGAAATGTAATTATGATGTATATATTATTTATAAATAAATCAACTACTTAATGAACATCCTTTACAGGCAATCGAAGGTCACTTTAGTGTAAGACACTCTCCATTTGGTAACCCTGAAGCTCTAATGCAGGAAGGAAAGCCTATAAGGGCTTGGTTAGATGAATATAGAAACCAATCTGGAGAGCCTTCGAACTATGCGGGCTTTACGTACGATGCTGTTTGGGCCTATGCGATCGCCGCACACAAATTGCTCCTTAAGGACCAATATGCTGTCAATTATTTAAGAAATACTGAGGTTGTAAATCGGTTCAGGGAATTAATTGGGCAAACTAATTTTGAAGGGTTGTCCGGTAATGTGTCCTTTGCCCAAGGAGAGCTTGGGGGATCCCGTATTATCGACTTGGACATTTTACAGTGGAAAAATTCTAGTCTTGCAAAAGTGGGAAAGTTTAAGCCTAGCGTAAATGGTAAGGGAGCCAGTATGCATGTATGCGGAGGTAATTTATCGTTGAACTTAAACAATATATTATGGTTAAAGGGTGTGGTGCCAGAGGATGGAAGATATGACTGCCGGTTCTCAAGATTAGCTCGTACATTGCGAGTGGACTGTGATATTGCTGCGATGGTTTTCGCGATAGTATTGTGTTTACTTGCAATATCTTTAATATCATTTACGTCATTCTGGTTTTGGAAGAAACGATATAGCCGGAAACTGAAACGATCGGCACAGATCATGAAAATGTTTGGGATAGACCTGCTATCTCCATCGCAGAATAAAACTAACACTTTAGATAAATGGGAAATTCCAAAGGAGAATGTTGTGGTTAACCGTCGGTTAGGAGAGGGTGCTTTTGGAATGGTTTACGGTGGAGAAGCACAGATAACTTCTGGTCAGTGGACTGCTGTAGCTGTAAAAACGCTGAAGTCTGGGCAGTCTATGGAAGATCGATTGGACTTCTTGTCAGAAGCAGAGGCTATGAAGAAATTTGATCACAAAAACATTATAAAGCTACTAGGCGTTTGCTTGCAGAATGAACCAATATATACAATAATGGAGTTCATGTTATACGGCGATTTAAAAACTTATCTATTGGCTCGCAGGAACATGGTGAAAGAGAAGTTTACAGATGAATCTGATATCTCGCCAAAGCGTCTTACGCTGTATGCTATGGATGTTGCATGTGGTCTTGCTTACTTGGCAGAAAAGAAGTACGTTCATCGTGATATCGCGCTTAGAAATTGCCTAGTTAATGCCCAGCGGGTTGTCAAAATAGCAGATTTTGGTATGGCTCGTCCAACGTTTGAGAGTGACTATTATAGGTATAACAGAAAGGGTGCTCGTAAGCTTTTTCCTGTTCGTTGGATGCCACCAGAAACACTAGCCCTAGGATTGTTTACTCCAGCTTCTGATATATGGTCATTCGGGGTGGTACTCTATGAAGTAATTTCATTCGGTTCATATCCATACCAAGGTTTAACAAATAATCAGGTGCTTGAATATGTTAAGAATGGTAAAACGATGCATATACCGTTAGGTGTTAAGCCCCAACTAGAGGGTCTCTTAAAGGCATGCTGGAGCCAGGAAGCAAGCAAACGTCCTACTGCTTTGGAGGTTGTGGAGTACATTTCCAACTACCCTCGACTATTAACTCCTGCTCTTGAAGTCCCTGCCACTTCTATTGAATTGCCGGAAAGTCAATCTGATCAAATACAGGAATGTGAGGAATTGAGCAATTTAAACACTTCGGCCAATACTAAGCCCGATACAATATTCAAACCTCTTTGTGATACTGGTTCGTTTACACCCATAACACCAGATGGATACAGTATAATGTCCCCACTCTTAATGCCCCAAGTGAGTTAATTGTTACTTGTTATATTTTTTTTTTGTCTAATTTACCCACAACATTTACAAAACAAATAAGAAATCGTTACGCAAATAATGGCATTGCACATACATTCCTAACATTTAGAGTCTTTGATATGGTAAATGATTTTGTAATTAATTAAGCTTCTTATTTTTAATCAAATTTGTGGCTTATGTTTAGTTTTATTTTGTAATTTCCTAGTTTGCACATATTGCACTATATAATACTTTCGTAATATAAATTTGTATGTTGCCTCTCCCCGTTGTAATATGTACTGTATTGTACTATTGTAATATAAATTATAATTGTTAAGAAAAAGTATATTACTGGCCAATTCCATGATGTAGCACGGGACATTCGCAAACATTTAAAGTTAAAACGAGTGGGAACGTTGTTACGGCAAGGGCCGCGGCTTTACTTTTATACTTTTAGTCAGTATATTTTATACAGTAGCGGACAGTGAAATTTTGACACTCATGTTAACCAAGTATGAAACTGCTTGTTAACGGGAAACAAACTGCCCGTTAACCAACCGATCGCGCGTAATTCAAATCTTTAAAGTCAGTCGGTAAACCTTTTTATAGTGTAAACACATTCATTAGCTGTTAATTAACGTCTCTTTTTCATACAAATTTTAAAAATTTCAATAAATACTAAAGCCGATATGGCATTATTAGCACCATGATTCAGTCTTTTTAAAACAGTTTTATACGGAATTTCGAAAATACGCGGTTCAGTAAAGTGAACCCTCACCTCAGTAAGTAAAAGAAAGACCTCCCCAAACGACCATCAAAGTAGGATAGTATTCTTAAACGCTTGAGCAAATCGGTTTAAAGTGGAATACGATTTTGGAAGGCAGCTTTTTTAGTCGGTAGCTAGCGATATCAGCACGCCACCCTAAGGTTTTGTGAGGGTAGCGTATTCAGAAGACAGCAAAAGTACCACTTTTGGCCCTAAAAATGCTCCAGAAATGGCGCCAATGCACATTCGAAAAATTAGGTTAGAGACTTGAAACTAGGTACATACATTTACGTATGTATATATAGGTCTGGAGATAAACTTCAGACCGATCCGACAACGCCCACCCCTACTGTCCATACAACGTTCAATTTTTATACCCGATACTCAAAATGAGTATTGGGGTATATTAGATTTGTGGTAAAAGTGGATGTGTGTAACGTCCAGAAGGAATCGTTTCCGACCCTATAAAGTATATATATTCTTGATCAGCATCAATAGCCGAGTCGATTGAGCCCTGTCTGTCTGTCCGTCCGTCCGTCTGTCCGTCTGTCCGTCCCCTTCAGCGCCTAATGCTCAAAGACTATAAGAGCTAGAGCAACGATGTTTTGGATCCAGACTTCTGTGATATGTCACTGCTCGAAAAATATTTCAAAACTTTGCCCCGCCCACTTCAGCCCCCACAAAGGGCGAAAATCTGTGGCATCCACAATTTCGACGATACGAGAAAACTAAAAACGCAGAATCATAGATAATGACCATATCTATTAGATTGCTGAATCTGGATCAGATCAGATCATTTTTATAGCCAAAAGGAACAAATCAATTAGCAGTGGCTACGCAGCGCCCGACGTCACGCGCAGACTGATTTTCTGTCTCTCTCGCACGCACTCTTTGTCGTGTCGTTAAATATTAGCGGCGTCTGCCGGAGGAGAGCCATACTGACTTAGTATCGGGTATAACCGTAGAGTTGCGGTGTCCGCAGCAACTCACAACGTTCCCCCTCGTTACTAGTTGTTTTTATTGAGTAATATAGTATTATTGACGTTATTATTTGATGAGT